TGGTGGCGCTAAAGCTAAAGGCGTCCTATTCCCACTCTCTCTAAATCACGTGTTCTTATGACATGTGACTAGTATTTTCCTGGTGGTTATTGTTTGTCTATCTATCTATCTATATATATATGTCTGTGTATGTGTGTATGTGTCAGTGCAATATTTAGTTCCACAGCTAGCTGTTGACCCCTCCCCATATGAATGAATATATATACATATACAGGCATGGCGGAACCATCTGGCATAAATTAACTCAATGAAGGAGATAGACATACCCACACGAAAAAATGTCACGTGTTTATACCGATCAGTTTATGATCATGTGTGATTGTGTGAATGATACCCGCTAATCAGTTAAGTGAATGGTAAAGCCATATTGATTTTTTTTATAAAAAATACAGATTATTATGATCAGTATTCAAAATTGACTTATTCTAATCATGGATCATTTGTGTGTGCATGTGTGAGAGAGAGAGTGAGACAGAGGAAAGATGGGGAACCTAAGAGGATAAAATATACCTTTTTTAAAAATTTTGCTCTGTCACATATCCAAGTAAGTGATGATGAACTTTATTTTCTGACTATAAAATGACTTTAAATTAATTGCCGATTATCTGTATGCATGTGTCTGTGTGAGTGTTTATGTGGAGTGTTCAAATAAATGGCGCCTTTAAAAAATAAATTTCCCTCCATTGTACAATGTAGCCATTTTTTCTTCATATTTCTTTAGTTCATTTAAACAAATTAAAAACTTAAACATACGATGGATAGATAGATGAATGATAAATGTATGAAATATTGAGTGGAAAAAAATAAAAGGTACTAGTTTATTATTATAGTTGTACATTATTAATTTTGATCGATTACTCTGCTATTGTTGCTACGCATTAATAAAAAAAGTATCTTTCTTTTTTCTTCATAATACTAAATAACTGAACTATGAAATCGTCTAATTAAGAGATGGGGGTGGGTGGGTAAAATATCACAATTTTACTAACTGATGTACATTACCAATGTGTCCCAGTAAGTGTTCCCTTGTTTGTTTTAAATAGTGTCTTTTTTTTAACTCTCGAAAAATTTTCTAAAAAACCTAATGGCGTCAAATAATTAGTAATAAATATTATTATTATTATTATTATTATTATAACTGCTAATACAATTTTACAACTACTATTGACAATGTTAATGTTTTCAGAAAAGAAAAAACACAATCACTGATTCGTTTGTGTTCCCCTTAAAATAACAATTATTATTATTATTATTAATATTGAAACCATTGAACATTTAAAGAAATAATTTCCTTAGAAAATATATATTTTTATTTATGTGAATAAAGAAGTAAACAGTTATTTATCATGACATATCATTAGAAATTTCTTTTTGGTTAAATGAAACTTAATTTATTATAGACAGACCTGGCACTTTATTTTTTTTTCTCGCCAAGATAATATCCATTTGGCACACACTTGCACACGCACTCGAGGACATGCGTGCCCATATAAACAAAAGGAACAGTGATTTTGTCACCGACAAACAATTATCAATAAATAACACTGTAAACCACACACGCACACACACACACAAGTCGTAGTTTTGACCACCATGTTGTTGTACGTGCGTAATTTATAGAAAACGGGGTTTGTTGGTGTGGTGTATATATAGACACATGGACACATTGATCTAATTGAATATAACCCCAAATAAGTACCCCCCCCCACACACACACACTAATGATCATCATCTTAATAATATTTATTTATTTAAAATAAATGGAGAGAATACAAAACACATTCTAATTATTATATATGTATTTATATAAATTGAGTTAGGCAAGTTATTCTTTTAAATGATGATTCTTACTAATAATAGAATACTATGCAGATATATATATAATACAATGTAACCTTAGTAACAACAAAAAGCACTGTTTTTTTACAAGATAAGAAGAAAAAAAATAGGGAATAACAACACTACTACGATACAAAATTGGACATTGAAAAGAAGTTGTGTTAAAAAAATCCCTACATTGATTAGACAGGTTTCTAATGATGTGGCGGTCTAACATCCATCGATTCATGGTTTCAAAAAAATGTGTAACTTAACAACAATCTTCACAACAACTCCGTAATGTAAATTACCTGTGCTCACTAGTGACTAACTAGCTTCGTGAGCAATCTTCTCCGAGTTCTAGAGGGTGAGAAGACGTAACCAGTGAAGTTCAATCTGTTAGGGTGTATGAGGTTGCGCAACTCCGTGAATTGATCGACGTTAGACATTAACAGCGAGTTAGATACCGGCTCAGTGGTCCGATGATTAGACGTTCGCCTACAATACCGAAGGTCCACTGGGTTCGAATCCTACGGGGTGCAGGAGTCGTAGATGCGCACTACCGCTGATGAATAGTGCCATACCAAGACGAAAGAACCGTCTTTCAGTGCTTCCAGATTTCTATTGGTGTGGTGGTCTAACATGTGTAACTTAACAACAATCTTCACAACCCCATAATGCAAAATAATAATAATTACTATTATTACTGTACTTATTCTAAAGACAAAATACAACTAATCGTCATTCAAATAGTGTTTCGGAGCAGAGTTTTGGAGGTGTTGTGTTTTTACACATTTGAAATCATCAATCAATCATTGTTAGACAGACTACCATTAGAAGAAACCTGAAAGCACTGAAAGAATAGCCGTTTCGTCATGGTATGGAACTCATCAACAATGATTGATTGATGATTTCAAATGTCTAAAAACACAAACCTCCAAAACTCTGCCACAAAATATCGTAACATGTGCTCATTAGTGACTACTAGCTTTGTGAGGAAATTCTCGGAGATCTTCTAATGAGAAGACCTGACCAGTGAAGAAGTTCAACCCTGTCGGGTGTAGGCAGTAACTACTAAAGACAATTAAGGGTGAGGTCGCGCTAAATCCCTAGGTCAATCAGAGTTAGACACCAAAACCGTTGGATGCCGGCCAGCACAGTGGTCCGATGGTTAGGCGTTCGTGCACAATACCGAAGGTCCCGGGTTCGAATCCTGCGAGATTCAGGAATTAGCGTGGATGCACACTACCCTATGATGAGTCCCATACCAGGACGAAACGGCCGTCTTACGGTGCTTCCAGGTTTCTGATGGAGCTCGTCTAACAATGATTGATTGATGATTTCAAATAGTGTTTCAATCTGACAATAGAAAAGACTTCCACACAAGAAGGAACTTCCCTTAAAATACTCTGTATAATTTACCAGATTTAATGTTATTGTACAATGTTCAATATCTTTGTTCTTATGGTTTATCATTTTCTCTTATTATTATTACGTAATTAAACCCTAAATTATTATTATTATTGTTAATGTGCTTGTGTTTAAAAATGACAAACTACAGTTATTTAATCGATCAACTGATGGTACACACAATAAATATCATTTAAGGGAGAGAGTTAGTCAGTTAGTCAGTCAGTCAACACATTCTATGCACAAAATACAAACTAATCTATTTGTATACATCTCTAAGAAATAATAATAATCACAATAAAAATAAAACATTTTATAATCATTTTAAACAAATCCATAAAACATTCAAGCATTGTTTGTATTATTTTCTGTTTTGTTTTAATTGTAACTACTAACCATTAGAGGGTATGATCATCGTGAAAAGAAAATTTTTCGGTTAATTAGTTATTTATTGAAAAATCTACTTAAAACATTCGGATGATGCTGATGATGATGGGCATAATTGAACATAAAATAAATCAACTATTCATTATTGAACATTGAACAATTGCCATGTTTGTTGACAGGAGTTAGTGTTTTGTTTTAATGTTTGTTTAGATACTACTATTACTACTACCAATGCTAATACTACTAATGTGGTGCGAGCTAATGTTTGTGTCATCAGCTGACGAGTCACCTTCGCCAGTTCACCGATGTCCATAGGTCGCGCTGCGTTTACTAGTCTCAGCTGATGGGACAAAGGGGGCAGGCACACTCTCGATAAACTGCGACGTCAACAACTGTGCCTCCGACACCTCATCGATGTTCAGCAGCGCACGGCGCAACAATCTGGCGAGTTCTACAGCAAGTACCAACGGGTCACCATCAGCCAACAGCCTCGCCAACCGGAACTCCTGCAGAGCCTTCTCCCTGTCCACTGGGCTGTCGAACCCCGTCTTCAGCTGCCCGGTGACCGTATCCCACGCCGTCTTCCCAGCGGCACCGTCCAGGCTGTCGTATGCCGCCTTCGCCTCACCTCCCCGCAGCGTCCCCAGCACCACCAACTCCGCCCCGGGCCCCCACCAGCTCCACCGCGGCCTCAAACTCCTCCAGGAAGCTCTGCAAACCTCCGTCCTCCAACTACATAGGCCATGGGAGCTCCTTCCTTCGAGCAGTCAGTGACACCAAATGTAGCGAAGCAGAACACCGGTGAGGGCAACCGCATTGTATTTAACGAAAATTACAGAGTTACTCAGTAAAATAGGAAAACCATATCGTAAATCGTTCATTTGCAAAAGATCAGTTCATCCTATGGAACTGGACTGTTCCTGTTGCCAAACATCAATCCATTGTCACCATTCATGCGTTTCATACAAATTCGATTGTGTTGTAACTCTTCCTTTCTTGATCTTCCCCCCTCATCTTCTGCTGCCAGACATTCCGTTGACACTCAAGTCATATACTACTTATAAGTAGCTCACACCACACTAATACTACTAATACTACTACTATTACTACTGTCTATTCTTTCTAGTTTAATCTTCTTAGATTTATATATTTCTTGTAAACATTATAAGTCATTATGTATTAATTAACTGATGGGTGGTCGTTATTAAGCCTAGTTCATTATTCTACACGTATAAAGCATAAATCAAAGATTTATAAACGAATCATCCCATAGTCATTTGAAACTTTTGTGATAGACACGCACACACACACAGAGACTGACACATAGGGATAGAAGACAAACAATTGTATCATTTAATAAATGTTATTAGTGTATTTAATTGATATCAATTATCCCGAGGATATTTATTTTTTGTTGTTGATGAATTCGAATTTGGCCATGATTGATGTTGGATGAGAGAGAGAGAGAGTAAAGATTGGACAACTGTTTTTTTTCCGATGTTTATTTGTGTATAAGATTTTAATTTAATGACATTTTTTTATGGAAATTAAGAATGATGCAGTGTTGTTCGACCAGCATATTAGGAAGAAACTTGGAAGCACTGGAAGACAACCGTCCATCAGTGTCAATACGCATCCATGATTCTGACTAGTCGCGGAATTCAAACCGAGGACCTTCGATCTAACACGGTAACGCTTAACCACTGGACTACTGAGTCAACCGGCACCCAAAGGCGTTAATGTCTAACTTTGAGCAATCTAGGAATTTCGAGGGACCTCACTCATAAAATTGTCTTCGGTAGTAACTGACTACACCCGACTAGGTTGAACGCCTTCTGATCACTTCTTCTCACCTAGAACTCAATCATCAACTCATCAATCAATCATTGTTCGACCACCATATTAGAAAGAAACTTGGAAGCACTGGAAGACAGCCGTTCATCAGTGTCAGTACGCATCTACGATTCTGACTAGTCGCGGAGTTCAAATCGAGGACCTTCGATCTAACGCGGTAACGCTTAACCACCACTGGACTACTGAGTTTAAGTTTTAAGGTCAACAACAACCAATCAAGATCGAGGTTAGCAGAACAAGCTACAGGTCAAATGTGGAGAAATTCGAATGCTTCACTTCTGCTATCTGAAGTTTGTGCTGATGATGTTGTTCAACAGTAGTAAACAATGAAAGCTCCACAACCAAAACAACCAGCTCATAGAACGAAACACCACCACAACTACTGAGTCAGCCGGCACCTGAAGGCGTTAATGTCTAACTCAAATCAATCTAGGAATTTCGAGGGACCTCATCTATAAAATTGTCTTCGGCAGTAACTGACTCCGAGAATTTCCTCATGAAGTTAGTTACTAATGAGCACACTGTACGATTTTTCAATGTAGATCAGTGTTTTTACACATTTGAAATCATCAGTCAATCATTGCTCAGCCACCGTATTAGAAGGAAACTTAGGAGCAAAGAAAGACAGCTGTTTCGTCGTGCTGTATAGCACTACTCACCAGCTGCACTGTGCACATCCACGACTCTTACTACTCACGCGATTCAAATCTATGACCTTTGGTTTAAGCCATTAACGCTTAACCTCTGGACCACTGAGACAACCGGCACCCGAAGACGTTAATGTCTAACTTTGATCAATCTAGGAATTTCGAGGGACCTCATCCATAAAATTGTCTTCGGTAATAACTGACTATATCCGAAATAGTTTAACGCCTTGTGATCACTTCTTCTCACCTAGAACTCTGAGAATTTCTTCACGAAGCTAGTCACTAGTAAGCACATTGTATTATTTTTCATTGTAGATCATTGTTTTTACACATTTGAAATCATCAATCAATCATTGTTCGACCACCATATTAAAAAGAAACTTGGAAGCACGGAAAGATAGCCATTTCCTAATGATGTGTGAGACTACCTATGAGCGGCACTGTGCACATCCATAACTCTTGCTACTCACGGGATTCGAACCTAGGACTTTTGATGTGGAACGTGAATGATTAACATTTGGACTACTAAGTCGGTCAGGAAGAGAGTATCACTAATAAAACTACATTTTATAGAGATTATACATTTGAAATCATCAATCAATCATTGTTAGATTAACGCCTGGAAGCACTGGACTGCTGTTTTGTCCTGATATGGGACTCATCAGAGGTAGTGCGCATCCATGATTCCTACATCTTTACAGGATTCGAACCTGGGACCTTCGGTCTTGTGAGCGAACACCTAATCTAATCTTCATAACTCTAATTGAAATTGATCATTGTTAGTTAGTATGGAACTCATCAATGGCAGTGGGTGGTGATCCATGTCTCTTACATGCGATCGCTTAACCCACCACGGTACCATAGATTAATCATGGTTAAACATTAACATCATTGGCTATCAGCTCAGTGGTCTAGGGGTTAAATGTTCAAGCACCAGATCAAAGATCTAGGGTTTAATTCTCATGTTCAAAGGACGTGCGTACGCTTAGTCTTATACCAAGAAAAAATAGCTCTCCAGTGTCTGTGGGTCTCTTTCATGTATGGTTTGTATGGTTTGTCTGTCCATGAGGTAGTCGAATCAATAACTTACTGTCATGCCTACATATATATATGTGATAAGTTATTTTTACAGGGTCTCATATATTCTTCAAACGGTTCTTTTGCGCGTGCACACACACACACAGAGACATGCAGTGACGTAGAAGCACTAGACAGTCGTTTTGTCCTACTATGGGACTTATCAACAATGCACATGCACAACCATTGCACGCAAGAATTGAACTAAGGAAATCTGAGGGTCTCACATATGAACACTTAACCTATCAACCACTGAGTCAGTACCCAACGATAGTCCAACGGTTCAAATCATACATGTGGCGATTATGGATGTACATTGCTGATAAGTCCCAATACAAGGACGAAACGACCAAATGTTACACCATGCCAAAAAAAACAACACACTTTCATATATGATGATTTGTCTATCAATTACGGATTAATAAAGTCAAATCACAATACATTACTGATATGATATGATACTTTTAATAACGTTGTATTCATTCAACCGGTCCTTTCGTGCGCACACATACACAAACATACACACACACACTAACATTCTAATTGTCATTTTTTTTATTCTAATAAATAATTAGTACACCTACTGAGTGAGTGAATGAGTGTTCAGTTGAAAAAAAATGATAAATTTCATAAATTACACCATTTTTTAAAAGATGAAATATCAAATTTAGAGAAAAAAAAATAAATTTCTGTTATATTCAAGATCATATACACCTGTGTGTGTGTATGTATGCAGGTGTGTGTATGTACGTATGTGTGTGCAGGTGTGTGTGTGTGTATGTTTAGATAGATGAAATAGACGCCAGATAAAACTCGCACACACACACACGCACATTCACGAAATAATCGTAATAATGATAATAATAATATTACTAATCACAATCATAAACATGAAAATGAACCTGCTGGGAGGTAATCACATAAAAAATGTATCAATGATAAATTGTCAAATAAGAATAATAACTATTTTAAAGAACGGAAAGATCAATGTTCAATTTAATTGAATTGAAAGTTATGAAGAGTATGATTTTCAATATTCAATTGTTTCTTACGGATTAAATGTTTTCTCTGGCTCCAATAAGTTTACACATTTGAAATCATCAATCAGTCATTGTTAGATCACTATCGGAGACCTGGAAGCACTGAAAGACGACCGTTTCGTCCTACTATGGGACGCATCCATGCTAATTCCTGCATGTCGCAGGATTCGAACCCGGGACTTTAGGTCTAGTGCGAGAATGCCTAACCAATGGACCATTGGGCTGGCATCTAACGGTGTCAATGTCTAACTCTGATTGATCTAGGGATTTCGGTAGTTACTGCCTACACTAGACAGGGCTGAACTTCTCCACTGGTCACGTCTTCTCACTAGAAAAACGAGAATTTCTTCACGAAGCTAGTAGACACTAGTGAGCACATTTTACGATATTTTCAATTACAGAGTTATGGAGATTAGCGTTTTTATACATTTGAAAACATCAATCAATAATTGTTAGACCACCACCTGGAAGCACTGGATAGCTGTTTCGTCCTAGTGTATAGGACTCATCAGAGGCAGTGCGCATCCACGCTAATTCATGCAGCTGGCAGGATTCGAACCCGCGATCTTCGCTCTAGTGCGCGAACACAATGGTGAATAACGTCACTTAAATACCAAAGCTGATTGTCTTGTGTGTTATATTGAACAAATATGCTTGACATAACGTTCGTTTTCTATAAAGGTACTGAATTCCAACCGGTATAAATTTGAATTTTCATAGATTTGTGCCTTCTAGTTGTTGATATTAAAAATCATAGTTAATTACGGGGTTTTTTCCGTTTGATGTAAGTGTAATTTAAACAAATAAGCAGAGGGTTCAAGTTTCAATATTGAAAATTAACACTGTAGCATGTGGCTAATGCATTCAATTGACAAATTTTAAACATGACGAAAGACACATTCCAGATTCCGCTACAAACTACACTCTCTAGGATGTAAGCAGTAACTATCGAACAAAATGATGGGTGAAGTTATGCTAAATCCTTAGATTGATCAGAATTAAACTTTACCGCCGCTAGATGCCGACTGGTTCAATGGTCCAGAAGTTAAGCATTCGAGAGCAAGACCGAAGGTCCTGGGTTCGAATCCCCCGCGAGTAGCAGGAGTCGTAGATGCACACTACCCCTTAGTGATGAGTAAGTAGTCCCATACACCAAGACGAAAACGACTGTTCTTCAATGCTTCCAGGTTTCTCTCTCTCTAATAATAATCATCTTTATAACTTTAATTGAAAAAAATTCAATATTCCACCTACCTTGTTTTTCATGATTCAATTCATTTTGTTCAAATTTTGTACGTTTCGCTTCAGATAATAAACATGGCTTATTTGGTGGTGGAGGATACAAAGATTCTTTGCATCGTTTTCTCCGTTCTGTTGGTTCCATTTGATTTCGATTATTTTTCATTGATATACCAATACTACTATTAATACTACTACTACTATTGCTAATGTGAGTAGTATTACAAGTAGAAGTGGTAGTCACAATGGTGTTCAATGTTTCTTCAATAGGTGAATGAAATAAATTCGCATTGAATTCATTCATCATCAATGCTGGTTCAATTTGTTTTAATGAAGGCATTTCATTGTAAGCACCAGCAGCACCCGCAGCCGCACCCACAGCGGAGGCGGCGGCAGCAGCAGCCGTTGCAAATGCTGTAAAATTGGTTGGACCAATCAATGCATTTGGAGGATAATTTGATTTTAACCAATCATAATACTGATAATAATAATCATTGAATATTGGCATTCTACTGTCGATACTACTATCAATACTACTGTTATTAGTATTATTGTTACCAGTAAGCAATGAACGATGATTGGTCAACAGGGTATTATGATTCATTGGTTCCGACTGGATCCCGGTTGATGACATTGGTAACGATGACGATGTGGATGACGATGACGGTAATAAGGAACTAGTTGTCGAAGTATTATTATTGTTCATCATATTACCGCTAGTGAAATTCAATGTGTTCAATTCTGACACACTGGAATGATGAATTTGTGTAAAATGTAAATGAAATTGTTGAATATTAGGAAATTTTTGATTACATTGTGAACAAAACCATTGTTGATTGTGTATAGTTGAATGGAGATCTAATGATGATGAAGGTTGTGTGATTGTTGCCATGGTTGTTGTCAATGATGATTGTGTTTGATGTGATGGTGATATTTGATCGGGATAAGTTGATTTTAAATGCATTGGAACTGTTAAAACAAGTAATAATCAAAAGTAATATAACATTATTATGATTATGATGATGATTGTGACGTCATCACGATGAAATTATTTAAAAATGGAGACTGAAAAGGAACAACAAATACAAGAGCCCCCGCCTGGAGCTTCTACCGGCTTAGGAATATGGGTTCTTACGGCCCCTATTTCTTAAAAAAACTAACTCGCCGGCAATGCTTGTCCATGACTCCTGTTTGTCACGGGATTCACACAAATCGTAGAACGTGAATCCTCTCTCTCGTTCCCTCTACCCTCGTTCGGTGAGTCACTGTTGGATCCCGGGACCAAACAGAGGCATGGACAAGCATCTGCCGGCGACGTTTATTGCGCGAGATCCGAGGTTGTTTTTTTAAAGAAATATGGGGCCGTAGCAGTTTCACACTATATAAGAAAACCATATTCCCGTTCAAGCGCTCGCGAATAGAAAGCTCCAGGCGGGGGCTCTTGTATTTGTTGTTCCTTTTCAGTCTCCATTTTTAAATAATTTCATCGTGATGACGTCACAATCATCATAATCATACTATGTTATATTACTTTTGATTATTACTTGTTTTAACAGTTCAAATGCATTTAAAATCAACTTATCCCGATCAAATATCACCATCACATCAAACACAATCATCATTGACAACAACCATGGCAACAATCACACACAACCTTCATCCAATCATTAGATCTCCATTCAACTATACACAATCAACAATGGTTTTGTTCACAATGTAATCAAAAATTTCCTAATATTCAACAATTTCATTTACATTTTACACAAATTCATCATTCCAGTGTGTCAGAATTGAACACATTGAATTTCACTAGCGGTAATATGATGAACAATAATAATACTTCGACAACTAGTTCCTTATTACCGTCATCGTCATCCACATCGTCATCGTTACCAATGTCATCAACCGGGATCCAGTCGGAACCAATGAATCATAATACCCTGTTGACCAATCATCGTTCATTGCTTACTGGTAACAATAAATACTAATAACAGTAGTATTGATAGTAGTATCGACAGTAGAATGCCAATTATTCAATGATTATTATTATCAGTATTATGATTGGTTAAAATCAAATTATCCTCCAAATGCATTGATTGGTCCAACCAATTTACAGCATTTGCAACGCTGCTGCTGCCGCCGCCTCCGCTGTGGGTGCGGCTGCGGGTGCTGCTGGTGCTTACAATGAAATGCCTTCATTAAAACAAATTGAACCAGCATTGATGATGAATGAATTCAATGCGAATTTATTTCATTCACCTATTGAAGAAACATTGAACACCATTGTGAACTACCACTTCTACTTGTAATACTACTCACATTAGCAATAGTAGTAGTAGTATTGGTATATCAATGAAAAATAATCGAAATCAAATGGAACCAACAGAACGGAGAAAACGATGCAAAGAATCTTTGTATCCTCCACCACCAAATAAGCCATGTTTATTATCTGAAGCGAAACGTACAAAATTTGAACAAAATGAATTGAATCATGAAAAACAAGGTAGGTGGAATATTGAATTTTTTTCAATTAAAGTTATAAAGATGATTATTATTAGAGAGAGAGAAACCTGGAAGCATTGAAGAACAGTCGTTTTCGTCTTGGTGTATGGGACTACTTACTCATCACTAAGGGGTAGTGTGCATCTACGACTCCTGCTACTCGCGGGGGATTCGAACCCAGGACCTTCGGTCTTGCTCTCGAATGCTTAACTTCTGGACCATTGAACCAGTCGGCATCTAGCGGCGGTAAAGTTTAATTCTGATCAATCTAAGGATTTAGCATAACTTCACCCATCATTTTGTTCGATAGTTACTGCTTACATCCTAGAGAGTGTAGTTTGTAGCGGAATCTGGAATGTGTCTTTCGTCATGTTTAAAATTTGTCAATTGAATGCATTAGCCACATGCTACAGTGTTAATTTTCAATATTGAAACTTGAACCCTCTGCTTATTTGTTTAAATTACACTTACATCAAACGGAAAAAACCCCGTAATTAACTATGATTTTTAATCTCAACATCTAGAAGGCACAAATCTATGAAATTACAATTTATACGGGTTGGAATTCAGTACCTTTATAGAAAACGAACGTTATGTCAAGCATATTTGTTACAATATAACACACAAGACAATCAGCTTTTGGTATTTAAGTGACGTTATTCACCATTGTGTTCGCGCACTAGAGCGAAGATCGCGGGTTCGAATCCTGCCAGCTGCATGAATTAGCGTGGATTGCGCACTGCCTCTGATGAGATCCTATACACTAGGACGAACACAGCTATCCAGTGCTTCCAGGTGGTGGTCTAACAATTATTGATTGATGTTTTCAAATGTATAAAAAACTGCTAATCTCCATAACTCTGTAATTGAAAATATCGTAAAATGTGCTCACTAGTGTCTACTAGCTTCGTGAAGAAATTCTCGTTTTTCTAGTGAGAAGACGTGACCAGTGGAGAAGTTCAGCCCTGTCTAGTGTAGGCAGTAACTACCGAAATCCCTAGATCAATCAGAGTTAGACATTGACACCGTTAGATGCCAGCCCAATGGTCCATTGGTTAGGCATTCTCGCACTAGACCTAAAGTCCCGGGTTCGAATCCTGCGACATGCAGGAATTAGCATGGATGCGTCCCATAGTAGGACGAAACGGTCGTCTTTCAGTGCTTCCAGGTCTCCGATAGTGATCTAACAATGACTGATTGATGATTTCAAATGTGTAAACTTATTGGAGCCAGAGAAAACATTTAATCCGTAAGAAACAATTGAATATTGAAAATCATACTCTTCATAACTTTCAATTCAATTAAATTGAACATTGATCTTTCCGTTCTTTAAAATAGTTATTATTCTTATTTGACAATTTATCATTGATACATTTTTTATGTGATTACCTCCCAGCAGGTTCATTTTCATGTTTATGATTGTGATTAGTAATATTATTATTATCATTATTACGATTATTTCGTGAATGTGCGTGTGTGTGTGTGCGAGTTTTATCTGGCGTCTATTTCATCTATCTAAACATACACACACACACACCTGCACACACATACGTACATACACACACCTGCATACATACACACACACAGGTGTATATGATCTTGAATATAACAGAAATTTATTTTTTTTTCTCTAAATTTGATATTTCATCTTTTAAAAATGGTGTAATTTATGAAATTTATCATTTTTTTTCAACTGAACACTCATTCACTCACTCAGTAGGTGTACTAATTATTTATTAGAATAAAAAAAATGACAATTAGAATGTTAGTGTGTGTGTGTATGTTTGTGTATGTGTGCGCACGAAAGGACCGGTTGAATGAATACAACGTTATTAAAAGTATCATATCATATCAGTAATGTATTGTGATTTGACTTTATTAATCCGTAATTGATAGACAAATCATCATATATGAAAGTGTGTTGTTTTTTTTGGCATGGTGTAACATTTGGTCGTTTCGTCCTTGTATTGGGACTTATCAGCAATGTACATCCATAATCGCCACATGTATGATTTGAACCGTTGGACTATCGTTGGGTACTGACTCAGTGGTTGATAGGTTAAGTGTTCATATGTGAGACCCTCAGATTTCCTTAGTTCAATTCTTGCGTGCAATGGTTGTGCATGTGCATTGTTGATAAGTCCCATAGTAGGACAAAACGACTGTCTAGTGCTTCTACGTCACTGCATGTCTCTGTGTGTGTGTGTGCACGCGCAAAAGAACCGTTTGAAGAATATATGAGACCCTGTAAAAATAACTTATCACATATATATATGTAGGCATGACAGTAAGTTATTGATTCGACTACCTCATGGACAGACAAACCATACAAACCATACATGAAAGAGACCCACAGACACTGGAGAGCTATTTTTTCTTGGTATAAGACTAAGCGTACGCACGTCCTTTGAACATGAGAATTAAACCCTAGATCTTTGATCTGGTGCTTGAACATTTAACCCCTAGACCACTGAGCTGATAGCCAATGATGTTAATGTTTAACCATGATTAATCTATGGTACCGTGGTGGGTTAAGCGATCGCATGTAAGAGACATGGATCACCACCCACTGCCATTGATGAGTTCCATACTAACTAACAATGATCAATTTCAATTAGAGTTATGAAGATTAGATTAGGTGTTCGCTCACAAGACCGAAGGTCCCAGGTTCGAATCCTGTAAAGATGTAGGAATCATGGATGCGCACTACCTCTGATGAGTCCCATATCAGGACAAAACAGCAGTCCAGTGCTTCCAGGCGTTAATCTAACAATGATTGATTGATGATTTCAAATGTATAATCTCTATAAAATGTAGTTTTATTAGTGATACTCTCTTCCTGACCGACTTAGTAGTCCAAATGTTAATCATTCACGTTCCACATCAAAAGTCCTAGGTTCGAATCCCGTGAGTAGCAAGAGTTATGGATGTGCACAGTGCCGCTCATAGGTAGTCTCACACATCATTAGGAAATGGCTATCTTTCCGTGCTTCCAAGTTTCTTTTTAATATGGTGGTCGAACAATGATTGATTGATGATTTCAAATGTGTAAAAACAATGATCTACAATGAAAAATAATACAATGTGCTTACTAGTGACTAGCTTCGTGAAGAAATTCTCAGAGTTCTAGGTGAGAAGAAGTGATCACAAGGCGTTAAACTATTTCGGATATAGTCAGTTATTACCGAAGACAATTTTATGGATGAGGTCCCTCGAAATTCCTAGATTGATCAAAGTTAGACATTAACGTCTTCGGGTGCCGGTTGTCTCAGTGGTCCAGAGGTTAAGCGTTAATGGCTTAAACCAAAGGTCATAGATTTGAATCGCGTGAGTAGTAAGAGTCGTGGATGTGCACAGTGCAGCTGGTGAGTAGTGCTATACAGCACGACGAAACAGCTGTCTTTCTTTGCTCCTAAGTTTCCTTCTAATACGGTGGCTGAGCAATGATTGACTGATGATTTCAAATGTGTAAAAACACTGATCTACATTGAAAAATCGTACAGTGTGCTCATTAGTAACTAACTTCATGAGGAAATTCTCGGAGTCAGTTACTGCCGAAGACAATTTTATAGATGAGGTCCCTCGAAATTCCTAGATTGATTTGAGTTAGACATTAACGCCTTCAGGTGCCGGCTGACTCAGTAGTTGTGGTGGTGTTTCGTTCTATGAGCTGGTTGTTTTGGTTGTGGAGCTTTCATTGTTTACTACTGTTGAACAACATCATCAGCACAAACTTCAGATAGCAGAAGTGAAGCATTCGAATTTCTCCACATTTGACCTGTAGCTTGTTCTGCTAACCTCGATCTTGATTGGTTGTTGTTGACCTTAAAACTTAAACTCAGTAGTCCAGTGGTGGTTAAGCGTTACCGCGTTAGATCGAAGGTCCTCGATTTGAACTCCGCGACTAGTCAGAATCGTAGATGCGTACTGACACTGATGAACGGCTGTCTTCCAGTGCTTCCAAGTTTCTTTCTAATATGGTGGTCGAACAATGATTGATTGATGAGTTGATGATTGAGTTCTAGGTGAGAAGAAGTGATCAGAAGGCGTTCAACCTAGTCGGGTGTAGTCAGTTACTACCGAAGACAATTTTATGAGTGAGGTCCCTCGAAATTCCTAGATTGCTCAAAGTTAGACATTAACGCCTTTGGGTGCCGGTTGACTCAGTAGTCCAGTGGTTAAGCGTTACCGTGTTAGATCGAAGGTCCTCGGTTTGAATTCCGCGACTAGTCAGAATCATGGATGCGTATTGACACTGATGGACGGTTGTCTTCCAGTGCTTCCAAGTTTCTTCCTAATATGCTGGTCGAACAACACTGCATCATTCTTAATTTCCATAAAAAAATGTCATTAAATTAAAATCTTATACACAAATAAACATCGGAAAAAAAACAGTTGTCCAATCTTTACTCTCTCTCTCTCTCATCCAACATCAATCATGGCCAAATTCGAATTCATCAACAACAAAAAATAAATATCCTCGGGATAATTGATATCAATTAAATACACTAATAACATTTATTAAATGATACAATTGTTTGTCTTCTATCCCTATGTGTCAGTCTCTGTGTGTGTGTGCGTGTCTATCACAAAAGTTTCAAATGACTATGGGATGATTCGTTTATAAATCTTTGATTTATGCTTTATACGTGTAGAATAATGAACTAGGCTTAATAACGACCACCCATCAGTTAATTAATACATAATGACTTATAATGTTTACAAGAAATATATAAATCTAAGAAGATTAAACTAGAAAGAATAGACAGTAGTAATAGTAGTAGTATTAGTAGTATTAGTGTGGTGTGAGCTACTTATAAGTAGTATATGACTTGAGTGTCAACGGAATGTCTGGCAGCAGAAGATGAGGGGGGAAGATCAAGAAAGGAAGAGTTACAACACAATCGAATTTGTATGAAACGCATGAATGGTGACAATGGATTGATGTTTGGCAACAGGAACAGTCCAGTTCCATAGGATGAACTGATCTTTTGCAAATGA